TCCGACTTTTGCTGGGTGGTAAAGTTTCATAAATTTTATTTATGTCAACACAGCTCGGTGCAACGAATCGTCGTCGTTACAGTGGCTGCAGTGAATGAATGGAAGGAAAATCAAGAAAAATGCTGAATTATCGCAACACTGGTAGCAATTTGCTCTGTGGCTGATGTTTGGTTGTGGATTTACTCATATTTTACCCTTTCAATTTTCTGCTATATGTATTATTTTTGTGTATGTATGCGTGTGTGTGTGTGTGTGTTTTTAGTTGCACAACGCTTAACGCGTTTTTAATTGCAAAACTTTTCCCACTTCGTGCTCGCACAATCCATTGACCGCTGAAACACATTCGAATTTTATCTGTAGCTGCCATTATATCCACACAGCCATACGGATGTATGTACATACGTATGCGTGCATGTATATATTTACGTACATACATTAAGGTATTCCACAATACAAAGTGTAAAGTTTTATTCGCCATAATTTTATTTGCTCCGTATTGACCACTTTCCACGTGTGTACCGTTGTTCAGTTCTTGGGGTATCTCCAAGACTTCTTCGAATTTGCCGTGGTGCTTAGTCCCTCTTACTGGGTCCGGCTTTAACTGCTTTGAGACGCGCTTCTGCATAGATTTCAGATAGTGAACTGATAAAGCTCGATAGCTCGACCATCGTCACAAGAAAATGGCATACCTCTATAGCAGTCGGCTTCCACACTTCCATGATGAGAGTAAATCTCGATTGCCCCGCTTCACTCGTAGCACTACCCTCGTAGATCGGATTTAGACCCACTTGCTTTTGCTTTTCGCGATGCCGTTACTGTGATCGCCTGCACTATTCGCTCGCTCTTAGCGAGCTGAGTTGTGAGCTTACAACTCCAGATTGTAGCACACTCGGTTTGTTAAACTTTTGGGAGAGGACTTTTCGATTATGCCGTGGATGTAGGTGAGGCGAGGAGAGTTCTTTCTGTCTGCTTTTCTTGAGAACCCTTTGTCGGCTTATACGACAGACGGAAAATAAACGCCACCGACTTGGGTTGAGGTCTACTTTCAACAGCTGAAACTGTCACTCGTTTTTTGAAGCACTCTCTCCGCTATTGGGCTCTATGAAGCGCCACTGAAGAGCCCAACTTATTCCCGGTACGGCACCTTAATCCGGCCATGAAAGTAAGAAGCAAATAGATTTTCAGTGAGATGGATTACTAGGATAACTTAGTGCGAGCAAGTTTCATAGAAAAAGTTCTGGTAAACCCTAATGTACATACTTACATATGCGCATACATACAAAAACGCTTATATACTTATATAAGTATGCAGATATTAATATTTTCATGCGTATGCGATTATATGTGAGAAAGTTTGCAGGTGCATGAAACTCTAGTGCTCTGCATTTCGTTTATGAATTCTCTCAGTAAAACCATTTTCTGCTTTAAATTTATGCTCCACTTCTATAAGGAGAAAGCCATAAAACTCCATAATGACTGTCGACAGCAATCACTGCTGGTAGACACAATTAAGAATACAATAACAAAACTGCTTGCAATGAAAATCACTGCGTTCCATAAAACTTTCATGACAACAAGCAAAATTACTTGCAAATATTTTTGGAAACAGTGAAGGACACCGGTTTATCCTGCAAGTGGCTAGCAGGGCATATACATACATACATATGCATGTATGTATTTGTAGTGGAAGTAATATGCAGATTGAAGATTGAAAAAACTTTCAAAAATGCTTAAATTCTACAAACTCACTGGAGCGAGTGTATGTTTGTGAAGTTATTTTTTCTCTCAAAATCGATTTCGTGAATCCAGCAATCGGAGATTTATTTTCGATTAAGAAAATATCTTAAGGTCAAAATAACTTCTATTGGATTATGACTGCTTTCTTTTATTTCGTGAATAGCTAGCTAATCAAATTGTAATTAGTCAGCTATTATAATAACACATATGCCAAAGAGAGTAGAGAGGAATTATTTAGCAAAAGTCCTGAAATACACTTGATGCGCCAAATAAAAAACTTCGGCGCGTTCCTTTATATGTAACTTTTTGTTTTATTCTTATTCTTGTTTGGCTCTTTAACCGTTCGTCGGTTTGTGGCTGTTTGCACATTTGCGCCAGTTGTATATCTTGAGTAATGAGTTGAGAGAGAATTACTCCGGGAAGTGAAAATTGAGACTATTGGTAACTTCACTGCCCATATTACGTGATCTACGCTTTTTCGTCCTCATCCACAAAACTTCACTCAATTTGGACAAGTGATCTAATAATCTACTATAACTAGAGTCTATTCTGCATCGTATGCACTTAGTTCAAGGAATTGTTTTTGATTTGACATTTTTTTCTGGAACACACAAAAGTCTTCATATTTCTTTAGTATATATATTATATAGCCAAAACTATTCAAAGTAAGGCGATTATATTAAATATTTCTGGCGCCAGTCTATATCTATCTATATCTATCGTCTAACCAAGGCATCCCCAAACTTTTGAGTTATTTAATGTAAACTGCAAATACTTTTGATTTTAAGGAACGTCGCATCAAATTGCTAAATATCAAAGATACAACAATTTAAATAAGAACAACAACTTTTATTCGAAATAGTATATACTTTTAATGTGATGAATGAAATTCTTTTACTGTTTTATTTATTATTTCTGTATTATGTCCGATAGCTGTATGCGGATTTCTGGGGAAGCATCCAATTAAAACCTGAATTTGTTATTTGTATAAAAGTAAGCCGAAAAACCTCATTCGCAACGATACGTTGTGACAAAAGGAAGCTAAGTTAAGATATCCTTTTTAGCTACTTCATGATATTAACTCCTAACACTAACCCAAAACTCGTTAAGAGACACAGACTCAAATGTGTGTTTCAATGTCGAAGAACTCTAACGATCTATAAGGGCTTGATTTTGTACCCAACCGATATCACTACTACCATCCGAAAAATAATCTGATTTCAGGATATTTACCAAGTGCCCAGCTTTGATATTTCACATTTCATTTGGTAATTCATCGCGTTTCATGTAGAAAAATTTATAAAAAAGGGAAGCTTTCAATGCTTATCTTTTCCACGCAGGTAATGGAGAAATTTCATTTTCTTAAAAGATGATAATTTGTCTCTCGTCATAAATTTAGTTCACTGATCTTCCCAAAAATGTCGGCAAGATAAGCTGCTTTTCTAAGCCGGATATTCGAATAATAATAATAATATTTTAGCGATTACACTTTTGCTAAGTGTTTGGCCGAACTTGTTCAATTTGTGGTGTGCGTCTTGACGTTGCTACACAAATTGAGCGACCTACAATGAATTTTATGAGCAGCGTTTTCATGACATAATAAACTCACGGAGGCTTGCCATTGCCTAAAAAGGAGCGACTGCTGCTATGAAAAACCTTTTTTCTATATTTTTTTGCGATATTGCTTTTCCCAGCAATACTCGAAAATAGATAATTTCGCCTCGGTCATGCTATCTTTAGAACTTTTCTTTGCGAGTGCAATTCAAACCGACTGCCGAACGCCGACCGTCGTGCTTATTCATACCGAATTTTAAGCGACGGTAATCGAACTAGCCCTGATTTGTACTTATGTATCTGTTGAATTATTTAACAGCCACAAATAAATAATTTCACGAAACCCTGGTGACTTCTTGGGTTCCGCGGAACCCACTTTAGGAAGCTCTGGTCTAACCCTTAGGGCGACGCATGAAGAAAATCACCCAACTAGTTGCATGGGGTCTCAAGCGACCACAAAAAAAAGTGTTGAAAAAAGTGGAGAAATAGGTGAATAAACGATGTATGTATTATGAAAAATGCCAAACTCTCCAAGATATATATATATTTTTTTTTCAATTTTAAATTGCCTTGACTCCATGCGCCTAATTACAAGCTAAATATTTACATAGTTATTATCAGTAGCATCCACTACATCTGTACATATAAAATAGCGCTAAAGAAAAGAAGATATCAAGTTGAAGTTAATTTAGAAATAAAAACGTCTATGTAAATCTGTATTATTTTGCAAAGGATAGATAGTTATTAAGTTAGTTAAATAAGGGGTATTCACAGTTTACTTCTTAAGTTAAAAAAAATAGCTTTTGAAATGTTACACATTGGAAATGTGAATACTCTTTGAGTTACATTTTTTGAAATTGAAAAAAAAAAACTAATTTAAGAGACATTCTGTACTATATTTCTAAACAAAAAGTGCGGATGATGTCCTTACGGACTCTAATATTATTGCAAAGCTGCTACATTTTGAGTTGTAACGCTTTAAAATTAACACAACCGGTTACTGTGAACTGTGAGTATCGCAATAGCCTTATGTAAACATTGCTTAGCATTGCTACTTACGTAAATAGTTACCATATATAGGGCATACCACATACATCTTACATACTTATTTAGTTACATATGTAGAGGAAAATTACATAACATTGTACCAATAACCATCAACATCAAACTTAATGTATTTAATTTGTTTATTTCTTTTTCATGTTTTAAACGAAATTTTCATTTCTGATTGCTGTTCGATGCATGCGTTACAAAAACAATTATTATAACTTGAAAATTATCGAATGCCATTTGCGTTGCGTTACGTTGCCTTGACTTGCGATTTATCGTTTACAATTCAATAATGTATAAACAAAAAAAAACAAAACAAACAAAAAAAATCCGAAATATAACTACCTACTCGTATTGTCGTTACGTTCGTTCGTTGTTTTGTGCATCAAAATATATAATCAACAATCAATAAAAAACAACTCCATTACATGTATGTATAAATAAACATTTTAACATAATTTTTATATTAAAATTTATATTTAAATTGACTATTGTACTTACTCGTATTTGTTGGAGCGTTAATTTGCCAACACCTACTGTGTCTTATTTTATTTGTTTATATTTATTTATTTTTTTATTTCTCCAAGTGTCTAATACTTTCTTTGGATTTTGAAAAATTAATAACACATTGCAATCTATTCACTTTCCATGTGTTGCAGCTGTTCTGTTTCTCGTTTCTGACGTGGCAGCTGCTCGATCATGTGCTGTTCAATCCGTCGCTTTGGATTTACACGCCAGCCAATGTGCAGGCGCGCCTGTACTCATACTTGGCTACGGAATTCCTCAGCGATACGCAAATCTACAGCAATGTGCGCCGTGTAAGCACTGTTTTACAGACAGTGCACACACTTAAATACTACTATTGGGTTGTGAATCCGCGTGCGAAAAGTGGCATCATACCAAAGGGATTGGGTGAGTGGCAAAAGAGGAACCGAAATTGTAATGAGTAAAAATGCGTTGAGAGACTAAGCTTTGAGAATTGGAGAGAATTTTTAATTCCATTTAATTTTCTTGACTTGTTGTTGGAAAACATTAATCTTATACATAAACGGTATTAATTTTGGTCATGATTACGACTGTGATTGTGATAATGATTTTGATTTGCTCTCGATTTTAATTATGATTATGATTCTAATTTTGATTGGGACTATGATTATGAATTTGATTATCGTTATGATTATTAATAATCACTATTGTTAGGCTTGTGATTTTGATTGTGATTATGACAATCATTATGTGTGTGACTGTAATTATGATTATCATTATTATAATGCTTATAACTTTCATTATGATTATGACTGGGAATATGATTATATTTTCGTGTCCCGCTCCCGACAAAAAAAGGATTATGATAATAATAATGATGATGATAACGATAACGATAACGATAACAATCACGTTTACGATAACAACGATGATAATTATAATTATAGTTACTAATTAATTATAATTATAATGGTAATGACTAAGATTTCGATTAAAATCACAATTATAATCACATTTAGTAAAATTTCTGCAACTTTTACTCTCTTTAGTTAACATTTTCCTGTACACTTATTCACAGATGGTCCACGTCCAGCACAAAAGGATATCCTAGCGATACGCGCTTATATTTTATTGTTTCTGAAACAATTGATTATGATCGGTAATGGTGTCAAAGAAGATGAATTGCAAAGCATTCTAAATTATTTGACGACCATGCATGAGGTAAGGCAATATTACTCTAAAAGAAACTAATTTTTAAATTCCTTAAAGCTTATTCTAATGTAATATTCAATTACATTCAAATACATTTGTATCTACGGTCTATCTACGCTTACTTTACATAACTTTATATTATATACTTGCAGGATGAAAATCTTCATGATGTTTTACAAATGTTAATTTCGCTTATGTCTGAGCATCCCAGCTCCATGGTACCTGCTTTCGATGTGAAACATGGCGTTCGTAGCATTTTCAAATTATTAGCTGCTGAAAGTCAATTGATACGCTTGCAAGCATTGAAATTGCTTGGATTCTTTTTATCTCGCAGCACACACAAGTGAGTACCTAATGCTATTGTAGAGTGGAGGACATACTGTGCACATTAGGGTGGTCCAAAAATTCATGTGAAGAAGTAAAGACGGAATTTATTTTGCTCTCACTCCCTAGGATTATTCCAGACCCAAAAATGTACCCCTATTCTTTATTTTGAAATCAAAGCTTATTTAGAGGTCGCTCAAAGCGCTTACAGTTGCCATGTATTTTATATGGGGTAAAAAAAAAAATTTTTGGAGAAATGGTATAGAATTCTTGAAAATTTATATTTTTCAATCGGAAAACTCTGTTTCTCTTTAGGAAATTCCCAATAAAAATACCCTTTTATTTAACCATTTTTTATAGTGGGTATATTTTATAGGCATAAAAAATGCAATGGGGGAACTAATAAAAAATCTTTAGTATTAAAAAATGGTCAAATAAAGAATTAGGTATTATTATCGGGAATATCCTGAAGAGAAATCAAAGGAAAAATACTGATTTTCAAGAATTCTGTATCATTTCTATGAAAAGCATACGTTAAGTTTTAATTTTAGGCCCAATTTTATAAGTTTCTCTGTATTCAGAATGGGATGCTAATTCTATTATGCTTATTATTTTTTATAATTTTTTAATAAGACATTCTCTTAAGTAGTTTAGTCTTCGTTATAAGAGTTGCCCTAAATAGTAATATATTTAGGGAATTAATTTGCCTACATTAAATTAAAAATTATAATGTGAGCCATGCAGGCAATTACTGCATGCATATGGGATGCCTCTTTACAATTTGCTGAATGAATTCTAAGCCATTTTTATTGCTATATATTTGTCGCTTTTCCTTTTCATTGCTTTTTTTTCATCGCTTTCTCCAATGGTTTCAAACATCTTTGTTTTCTCTTTTTCGTTTCTCCTGCTGGTATAACAGACGAAAATATGACGTAATGTCGCCGCATAACCTATACACACTACTAGCGGAACGTTTATTACTCTACGAGGAGTCGCTATCCCTGCCAACCTATAATGTTCTCTACGAAATAATGACAGAGCATATATCACAGCAAATTCTATATACCAGACATCCAGAACCAGAGAGTCATTATCGTTTGGAAAATCCAAGTAAGTATGCGAAACTATATTTATTTGAATAGGTATTTCAGTAAATATTGCATCCAAATTGTTTAAAATTAGTATGTGAAGTTAAATATTGGTAAAAAATATTGTTTTGAAATTTTTGGAAACTAAGCGTGAACCCGCCCACTTATGCTAAAATTCTGTATCTCAGTACCCGCTTCACCAATCTCTACCAAACTCGGTACGAGCCTTGCGCAGGGCTTAACTAAGAAATTTGTTGAAAATCTTCGAAATCGAGCAATAACCACGCCCACCTCCCATATAACGATAATTTACAGAAACACGAAAACTGCGATAAATAAGTAACTACTGAAGCTAATTTACTCAAAATCGATGACTGCAATAACCACTTAGCAGAAAATTAAATTTTTATACATTTTTTTTAAATGGGCGTGGCGCTGCCCCCTTATGACCCCAAGCGTATATCTCGGTAACCAATTTATCAACTTCTACGAATCTCGGTGCACATAATAACCCTGGTACAGAAAAGTAATTCGATGAAAATTGTTCAAATCGGTCAAAAATTACCTAGATGTATTAGCCCTGAAACAGTATCCTTTTAGTAAAATCAAAAATTTGTAGGATAATTTTCTCGAGATTTTTACCCCGTTAAATTTGTTTAAAAAATTCGTTAAATTTTAGTATAATAAAGCGCAATATTAAGTCGCTAAGGCTTGCCATTAGTTTTTGGCAATTTTTGTTTTTGTTGACGGTGTTGCGTATTTTTTCGTACAGAGTAAGTGAAATATTGCAGAATTAATTTTTATAGTTTTTTGGCACAAAGTTGGTAATTTGATATTATATGATTTTTGTTAGGAAAAGAGCTTTACTTTCATAAATAATAAATTTTAAATAAACTAAGGAAAATATCCAAAACTTACTAAAATTTCGAGTGCTAATTTTTATTTTAGTCACTGTATGTTATCCTCGATTCGAATCACAGGCATTCAGATTAGAAAATAATAACTGTTTATGGAGAAAATTACGATCACATACCAACATCACTTAAAACTCGTTCATAGACATGCCATTTTAATGAGCTCTTAAGTGGGCGAAATACCAAATACGGGACATTAAAAGAAATACAGAACATTTAGCGTCCCGTATAAAATAAATAAATTAACAGGACAATGGGTAAAAAAAGAGGACTGTCCCGTATAATACAGGACGGATGGTCACCGTACGTATAACGGTAAATTTCAGACGTACGAAAACTCCGATATTTCAATAACTGAGAACGCTAATTTACTCCAAGTTATGGTTACAACAATCTCTTAATAATAAATTAGACTGCTATAGACTTTTAGTAATAGGGCGTGGCACCACCCACTTTATGTCTACAAAGTGTATCTCGGTAACCTTTTTATCGATTTCTACCAAACTTGGTTCAACTATTTCATTAAGTCTAACTCAGCATATTATCGAAAGCGTTTGAAATCGGGAGAAATACTACTACCTACTTATCATGCAAAGGTACCCTGCAAAAAATGCGACTAATCCGGAATGACTCCGGGAGCAATCGCAAAGGACTAATATCCCTTTTGGTCTCTTTATATGGAATGAACTGTTCGCTTGTGTTCGAGCATGTCCTATGAAGGGACTAATTGTTCCCCTTTATATCCGAACGGGTACAAACAGCGACTAGTTACTTTAAAAAAATAAAAATATAAATTTGCGCCAGCCGCGATTCGAAGCAGGGTGCTCAGATTTGTTAAAAGAATACTTTCTCTATGTGCCAACGCCACACTTGGAATTTCATTGACTAATAGCGTCCATATCATTAAATCTCGTAACGGATCAGTCGAGACTAATTGATCCCCATTAGTACCCGTATGAGACTAGTTGCTACTAAATAATGCCCAATTGTATCCGATTGAGAGTAATCTCAGAATGCTCTCTTTAGAGATTAGTCGCACAATTTTTTGCAGGGTAGTTAAGAGAAAATTAGAGGGACGATATTTGATATATACATATATGGGCCGGGTATATAATGTTCGGTTTCGCCCGAACTTATACTTCTTTGCTTGTTTTAATTACAAAAAAAAATATAATATATTTCAGAAATGTTAATGAAATGTATGTAAATTAAAAAATTTTTATTTAACTAAATATTTTTTTTTATCAAAAATCATGCCGAATTTCCACTAGGCATGGAAATTACAAAAAATGTATGCTATTTAAAAAAATGCCATGTGGAATTGAACTTAATGACTATTTTTTTAATGTAATGACTCGATTATTTTTTAATGCCCGACTTTGTCATGTGTCATTTTTGCCATTTAATACCTAGAAGAAGTATCATAATGTCAATGAATATCATTCCAAAATTATCACAAATTTTATGAAATTAATAAATGTTAAAATTCAAAATGGCGTACCTTTTAAAACTTTAATTTTTTTATTTTCAAAATAATTTTTGGGGAAAAAATTTTCTCACATAGAACTAGGATTCTACGAAGTTTCACGGAAATCGGTATACCCTTTGAAAATTCTGTAATTGTGACGTGTAATAGCCCTGGTATTTTGTATTTGGCGTTGCACCAATCTACGACTGATGCATCAGACTAATACCAGTTGTTGAACCAGTCAACGAAGATATCAGCCTCATACCAGTTCAGCAGTGTTATGCTAAACAGATTACTGTTCATGGCAGCCATCGTTACAGGTGCAATGGCGATGGTAAACCGTTTGTAATCCTGTCAGAAAAATAACTTCTCATAAATAAAACCAATCTGCTATGTGACAACATAATTTTTTTAGTAGTGTAGTAGTCTATACATATCTTTGAGTTCTCGTTTTTATTATGAAAAGACACTGACCGCCCCCAGCGCTGTACTTAGATACCTGATTTTTAACTAGAACGATTTTTAATAATTCCGTTTTTCCTGCAGGGCTATGCATAAAAGAACCTACAACGCGCATGTATGTTCGGTTGAGCATAAAACTGCGCTGTAAATCCTCTACTTGGGATTAGCAAAATGAATGTGAAGTAATGAGGCAACGAAAATGATGCAATGTAAGGCGAAACTTATACATATGTGAACATTAAAAGTGATGTTATTACACTTAAGCTGCAATAAATTGAGAAAAATTTTTGCTGCGCTTGCTTCAGACGAAATAATGAGGAATTAGTTTTCGCAAAAATAGAACATTAGCTGCGTACAAAAACAATTATAAATATTTTGAATATATAGTGCGTATAGCTCGTTTAGTAAAACTGACAAAAGTGAGGAGGTCCGTTTTTTGTTTCCATACCCTCCTTGCACACAGAAACTACTATAGCAAGAAATTTGAATACATTTAGGGCCAGATTCACAGTGCTTAGTTAAACCATTGTTAACTTAACCACCAACAAGAGTTTAACTTTGAATTTACAGCAGTTAGCTATGGAAATTCATATCGCCTTAAAATGTAGAAATTCTAGAAATTAAAACTCAAAAAAGAACTTTGTTTTAACAAGATTTTAACTATGGGGGCAATCCGGATTTAAACTTTTGTTAACTGAACGTTGTGAATAGCAAAATCGACTGTTAAACTCTCGGCAGTGGTTAACTACACACTGTGAATTTGGTCCTTAATATTGGTGGCAAATTTGATGCAGTTCAACAGAGCTCCTTTAATCTGCATCAGAATTGTCATATTGAAAAAATGCTGACTTATTCCCTTTGGTAATTAACCGATTCAAATGTAAAGTTCGCAACTTTGATTTATATGTTTTTTTTTTAAATAACAAAAAAAAATATTTAACTTGAAATTCAACCCATTTTTAATTACGTATGTTTTTCTTTGCCGCATTCCTAAAACTTTAACTCTTCCTCTTCTTTCATTTCAGTGATCCTCAAAGTCGTCGCCACGCTCATACGTCAATCCAAGCAAACCGAATCGCTAATCGAAGTAAAGAAGCTCTTCCTCTCCGACATGACGCTGCTTTGCAATAGCAATCGTGAGAACCGACGCACTGTACTACAGATGTCCGTTTGGCAAGAGTGGCTTATAGCTATGGCTTACATACATCCAAAGAATACAGAGGAGCAGAAAATCTCCGATATGGTGTACTCACTCTTCCGTATGCTCTTGCATCACGCCATCAAACATGAGTACGGTGGATGGCGTGTGTGGGTCGACACACTAGCCATCGTGCACTCGAAAGTCTCCTACGAAGAGTTCAAATTGCAATTCGCGCAAATGTACGAACATTACGAACGTCAACGTACGGACAATATTACCGATCCGGCGTTGCGACAAGCGCGTCCCATCAGCACGATCAGTGGTTGGGAACGTGAGGAGCAGCAGCAGCAGCAACATCATCAACACCATCAACAACCGCAACAACAGCTAGAGCATACGCATGCGCATCATCAGCAGGCGGCACTGCCAGCGCCTGCGGCACAAGACGCACATTTAAAAGACGCTGAGTCGGTGGGTTCACTCGAAGATGTACCTCCTGTGGAGGAGGAAATCGAGGGCGACGAAATCGAGGCGACAACGCAGGAAGAGACCCCTACAAGTGGCACGACTGAGCCAACGACTTGTGGCTGCTCGCCAGACGAGAAAGCAACCGATACAGAAGTGGTAAAGGAGGCGTCTGTTGTGGCGAATGCAACCGAAGACCCAGCAAAGTCGAAAATATCCAACATATCCGATGTATACAATGAACACATTAAATCGGAAGTGATAGTCACCAGCATAGTCGAGTCGCCGGAGGTTGCCGTGACCTGCAACGGTAGTGCTTCGTGCTCGTCGACGGCCGCAAGCACCAGCAGTACACCAGCCAAGTCGCCGGCGCCTAATGGCGGTCAAGAAGCATTGTCACAAGCCCTCAACCTCAAGCCGGAGGATTTGGAAGAAATTGAGTTGGCCACTGCAAAGATCGCAGCTGGCACGTCCGACGATACCGAGCATGTGGCACAAGTGCTGCAAAGCTCCGAAGAGGCGCTACAACACTGCAAAGTGGTTGCCGACGAAATGCAGGAAGCTTCTTCTGTGCTCAAAGATGAAGAGATTGAATTGGCAGTGAATGAAGTAGTGCAAGGTGTGCTCAAGAATGAGAAGAAGCAGGCGACAAAAGAACCGTCCACCGATGAGAATCTCATTGCCAGCAATGAAGCAAACACGGCCGACCAGGACAATGTCTCATTGCTAAATACAAAGAACTTGTTAAACAACAATGCTGACGAGGTCGAGACGACAACAAGTAGCAGCATTGACAATAACACAAAAGATGTCAAAGAAGTAAATGCGAACAGTGATGCCAACGAGAATGTAAACATTAAAACCCACACAACAAACCACGCCGTGGCGAACTTATTCAACCCGGCGACTGCTATTGAGACGCAACAAAAGACTGAAGACAACAAAATCAAAGAAAATAACTTAATTAACAACAACACAAATACTGCCGAGCCCGCTGAGGTCGAGCATATTGCCTCAAAATTGGCAATTGTTGTTGCCAAAGAACACGAACACGAGCTAATGGATGTGAGCTCTTCGCTTTCGACCACAGTTGAGACCACGGAGGAGATCTCCTCACTCAGTCCCGAAACAACAGTTTCAAGTGCATCCATTACCGAGGAGAATTTGCTCGCCTTAACCGATCCAACGCCGGTAGACAGCGAAAGCATTCAAGTCGAGGCAATAGCGAAGGATATCGTCGATAAATTGATAGACAAGGTGATAGACGCGACTGCTGCGGAAGATACGGCGAGTAAAGAGACAAACAACAATGAAATCGTGGGCAAGGCGGAGGATGATGTGAGTGAAGCGGCTGTCTCGGAAGCGGCCAAAGAAATTGTGGAAGATGTGCTAACGTCTGCGCTGCAAAAAGCTGTCGACACAGAAGAGACAGCGGCTGAGGAGAGCATACTGCTTGAAGAAAGTGCACCAAAAGTAGAGACTACAAAGGAAAGTATTACGGACATTGTGCAAACAGTTGTGGATGATTTGCTAGAAAAAACAGTGGATAGCATAGAAAAAGTGGAAAAGCCTGCAGCCTCATCCGCTGAGACAACAGCGGAAGCAGAAGTGTCAGAAACGTTATTAGCGTCCGCAGAAATAGCAAAGGAAACATCAAACCCATTAGCGGCCGCAGCACTTCCAGCGGTTAAAGAGGTGGACTCAACAACACAAACGACACCAAAGAACCAACCGAATGAGAGTAGCGTTGTTAGCTTGGATGCGGATGTGGAAGTGGAGGAGGAGTTGGTTGAGCAAACTGAGGAGGAGACACAAACGACGCACGAAGAATTACAAGGCGAAGGTATTCTTGATGTGGATGAGCGGCAGCCAAAGCATACAACCGCCAGCACACAAGTAGAGAATAATCATTTTGGTAAGTACATACATACATACATACATACATACATATAGTATTCGCCCCTAGTGCAAATTTTCGCATTCAAAGTGTGTGGGTGTGTGTCTTGTTGTTTTGTGGAGATAAGCAAGCTGAGCAGCGGCGATTTCTTCTACCAAGCAGACTAAAATAAAAGAAAATGTCAGTATTTAACGATATCAGCGATAATCAAATGATACTACGAAAAATATGTATATTACATTAATGAAATGCTCTTCTTCTCTAACCTTTGCTAAGCTTCGCGTAACTTGCTTAGAAATTAGATAAATCCTAGCTGTCAATTGAGTGCTCGCCCAAATTGCGTTGTAATAAAATCTCGGTCCTTCCCTTGCTCCATCCAAGCAGACAGGCAAAACGGCGCACGAACGGACATTTAGTGCAGCAAATGATTTCCACAAAATTAAATGGCACGCACATAAACTTAGCTGGGATTTAGCGGCACTCATGCAAGCAAATAAGTGACAGGGGCTTTAGATGCTAAAGTTTTTTTGGTAATTATATTTTTTTTTTATTTCCCTTCCCTCCCTAGATAAGCACATACATACGCTAATATGTATGTATGTATGTATGTGCATATAAACACCAATTTCGTTTACTATTACTCGGTCTGTGTCATTCTCAATTACAGCTATGACCTCTTTAGACAAGTAGACGACTTACGTACTTACGTACGGAGTTAAAGGGGAGTAGGGGACACTAAGCGCAAGCGAAAATTGGTTTGTTATATTACAAACAATTTTTAAATATTTAGAGCAATTTGATGTCGAAGTTTATTCAGCTGATATATCTGATAGAATTTAAAGTCAACCCTTACTAACAGTAAAGCGTGCATTTATGAAACTAGCTTATTTATATATGTAATGTAATCATGTTTTCTTCTTTACCGATGACCGAGCACGCCTTTCAGTTGGAGTTAAGTTCTGCATTATTACAAAATTTATTGTCAAGAACTTCCCCACAAAAGAACCAATTTCGAATTTCGTCTGTCGTACTTTATTAGACAAAAAAATATATATATTTAATTAAAAAGCTTTTTCACTATCTACCTATTCGTCCTTGTAAACCACAAACGCCTAATTTTTTATCCGACAGTATTTTCTCTTTTATTTGGTACCCATAATGTTAATGTTCATTGCACTGAATTCTAAAATAATTTTATGAAAAATTTCTCTGAAATTTCAAAGTATCCGGGCGTCAGAGAAGTAAACTAAAACGCAATTTTATGCTATTTGGCCCACAGTCTCGTATAAATAAAAATTCAGATTAAAAAGTTGAAAATTTTAATAAAACTTGTTGAATTTTCCTAAGCTATACGTAAAAATTAAAATTTTGATTTATACGGTTTGCTTGCAAATATTTAACGAAAATCACCATGTACTCAGTTTTGCACTTCAGTGTATACTTGGCGATAAATGAAACAACATTCCCAATTACTTCCATGAAAAATTGTTTGCTTTAATTAGTTATGAAAATATAGTTCATTCTATAATATAAATTAAATAAGTAAAAGTTTCACACTTCATATAAAGTTCACAAAAATTTTAAAAATGTCCATCAAAATTTTAAACTTTTAATTCAGAACCTCTAGAAAATTTTTGAGAATGCAATTTTGTAGCCCATTCAATTTTAGGCTAATGAAGTGCAAGTTTCAAACTGCAAAAAAATCCTTTTGATTTTTAAGAAGTTTTCTTATGAAATAAAATGCGGGAGACCGTTAGCAACAAAATTAAAAAAAACAAATCAACGCCAGTGTTTGTAAATTACATTGCTATAAAAAAACACCACAAAGGTAGTCTAAAAAAAAATATTCAAAATCAACGCGATTTTTTGGCCTTGCACTTCCTTAAACTGCATACTCAAAAAATTTAGTGTAGGTGTAATAAGGAACTTAATCAACTTTATATCAATAAGGCGTTGTCTTGCAGATAAAGTATTCGCTTAGCAACCCTGAAATCCTCGTTTCGATTTTCTGCTAGCGAAGATCTGCTGCATTTTTCTGGCGTATAAAATTTAGTGTAGGTCTTCCCTTAAACTCGTAAAAGCCTCGTAAACCTCGTAAAGCTCATTAATTTACGAGCCTCGTAAAATTACGGGGGAAAATTTTATGCACAAACGACCTCATAAACTTCAGTGCAGTGATGCCAGACATTCTCTGTTAAAAATCCCACGAAATTGGGGAAAAAATCCCTCAATTACCCACATCTTGAAAATTTATCCCACAAAATTCCCAACGAATTTAAACATATACATACTTCAGTAGTAAAGAAGTAAAATTCATATAAAATAATAATAATAGTTTGGCGCTTACACATATGTGCTTTTCCTCCAATTTGTGGCGGTCCCCTTGATGTTGTCACACAAAGGGGAGGGACCTACAGTTTTACGCCGACTCCGAATGGCGAGTGTATTTTTATGAGAAGCAGTTTTTCATGGTAGGAATACACTCGGAGGTTTGCCATTGCCTGCCGAGGACCGACCGCTGTTAAGAAAAAAACCCTTTTTCTGCATTTTTTTCACTTATTCATTTTTTCACTTTCATTTTTTTGCTCACTCACTAAGGGCCTAAAAGATTTTTTTGGTGACTTTAAAATTGAAGCACATTCATGTGCTATTTAACATTTCATCAGATAATTTGTTCCGCTTTTTACATGAAACACCAGTTACAACTGAAAAGATTCTTCCTTACTCAGCGCTTGAATTGGTTAACGTAAGAAAATTTTCGAAACTGTCGTTATACTTTTTAACAATAATATACCATTTCACTCCACATCACATCTTTAGAACGATTAATTACGTAAGAATGTCGAATATTCTTGAATTTTGATCAATTATGCAACAATAACTTTACCCCATTAATTACCCACAATCTGGCATCACTGCTTCAGTGTTGCCGAGGGGCCGAAATTGGTATGATTAAATAATGAAAAATTTAAATAAATGAAAAAAATAATAAGCGAATAAAATGAATGAATTTCATCCACATACTGTATTGACTCAGGTTTTCTCAAAATTTTCGGAATTTTTAATTGTATTTTAGCTAAGAGTGACAAGAGAGACAAGACGGCGGGATGTTATGGAAAATACTACGAAATAAAAATTGCTTCACAAAGTCCTGGTTGATCTGTCAAACAGATACTTTACGTGCCTATTTACACCTTTTCACATTAGGGGCGTTCCCATAAAAGCCTCGTAAACTTACCAGTTTTACACAGTTTAAGACTTTACTTGTTTAAGGGAATCCCCTATGTGAATATGTGTATGTCCCTTATGGGCTGCTAAACCTTCCAGTAAATTTCAGTGAGTAACGGAATGTGTACTCCCTTTGAATCAGCTAGGTGACGCTGGAGTCGAAATATTTTTAAAATTCAAAGATACTTAGCTTAAAATTATTGCCTGTTTGCAAAATCGATTTTGAATAAGGAATGTTTTTCTTCATACAAATGTAATTATATGTAAATACTGTAATTTTTCATGTAAAATATAGGCATCTGAATATTGTGGCCAATATCTCTTTTAACTCAATCGAGAACTCATTTTAGGGCCGCAACCAAACTATGTCCAAACGATATTTAGCACTTTTTTCTTTCGAAAGACTGTTGCCAGAATTGCCCTGTGTGTAGTGAAAATATATCCAATAAAAATCCAGTGACCATTGCAACACCCACACACCAACATTTGCTTAGCCCAGCACTCAATCCTTCCTCCATATCAAACAAATTTGTTATGCGCTACACTCACTTTATTTCCAGATAACAAAAATCCACATCAGCAACATCAGCAGCAGCAACAACAACAACAACAACAACAGCAACAGCAACGTTCCAAACCAGGCTCAACGCGTCCCATGTTCAGTCCCGGCCCAACACGTCCACCCTTTCGCATACCGGAATTCAAGTGGTCCTACATACATCAACGTCTCCTATCCGATGTGCTCTTCTCACTGGAGACAGACATACAAGTGTGGCGCAGCCACTCGACGAAAAGTGTTTTGGATTTTGTAAATTCGAGTGAGAATGCCATCTTTGTGGTGAATACAGTGCATCTGATATCGCAGTTGGCGGATAATTTGATCATCGCTTGTGGCGGTTTGCTGCCACTCTTGGCAAGCGCCACATCGCCAAATGTGAGTGTGAACCACACGGACATGGAATAAGCAAAAAAAAATTTTGAGGAAATTTAATAGCGTTTAGTTTAAGAAAGTTACTTGAAAGTTGCATGATTTTCTTCAAAGCGTATGCAACTTCATATTAAATTTTTTAGTTATTCTTCTCATATAAAGTTTGCACATTTTTCCCTTCTTTTTTTTCATTTTCAGTCTGAACTGGATGTGCTGGAGCCCACTCAGGGTATGCCACTCGAGGTGGCCGTCTCCTTTCTGCAACGTCTCGTCAATATGGCGGATGTGCTAATCTTTGCTACTTCGTTGAATTTCGGCGAACTCGAAGCGGAGAAGAATATGTCCAGCGGTGGTATATTGCGTCAATGTTTGCGTCTGGTGTGCACGTGTGCAGTGCGCAATTGTTTGGAGTGTAAGGAGCGTACACGCTACAATGTCGGGGCAATGGCGCGTGATGTGCCCGGTGCAGCGCATCTACAGGCGCTTATACGTGGCGCACAAGCATCACCCAAGGTGAGTGAGTGTAAAGAAATGAATATTTCAGTTGGCAGGCAAAAAAAAGAAAAACGGAAAAACCAAAACTATGAAATAAAATATATTACGGTACATTATAGAGAAAGAGACTGCACCTACATAGTACATGTGAGAGAGCTTCTTCTAAATTTTCCTAGCACTACATGTGGTAGTGGTAGTGGTAGTGGTAACGTGCTTGCTTTGCCTATCTTAGCTTAGCTTCAACAACAGCAGTCAATTGCTCTGCAGCTCTTGTCTTGGCTTTATAGCCTTCAAGTGCCACACTTAAAGTGCACTTTGCTGCGGTTTACTCACTTCTAAATGCTTGCTCGTGTGCATACATACATACATGTATACATGTGCGCTATGTATTTAGGAGTGTGTGCAAAGGTAATGATTACATGGGCACTAGTATGTAATGTAAGTACTTTAGCAGTTACCTCTCGCCGTCTACTTGCATACATATGAACACGTACAGTGGCGAAAATGTAAATAGGGAAGAGACATTTTAGCATTATTTGGCTTACCCTTTTCGTTCATTTAATTTTTTTATTACTTTTTCAAATGTTTTTAAGAACTATAATTAAAAAGCACAAAATTTTAATGAACCTTTGTTGAATTTCGCTAATTTTTGTACAAAGTTTGAAATTTTGATTTACATGTTTTTTGATTTACCTGGTTTTGGTAGATAGTAAACTATATTTTCATAGTAAAATAATAAAAAAAATTAAATATAGAAAAATAGCCAAAACTTGCTAAAATGTCTCTTCCTTATTTACATTCTCGCCATCGTAGGTACGTATACTTGCATTATGTGCTGCTAAAGCCGACGGCTCTCTTTTGCATATATACATACATACATACACGTATGTGGCATTTTGATAAAACCACTTATCTCGAGTTAGCTCACTTCCTCTTTAAAAAAAAAAAGTTTAAAATGGCCGTTTGATGGAAGCTTTGTAAAGGCAAGCGTATTACTTTTTAACCCAAAGTTAAAATTTCTAAAGCCACTTAAGTTATTTGTCAAAATGCCAGAGATATGTATATATGTATGTACATTTGTAGCGCTTTAGAATGCCTTTGTCAATGACTGCTATCAAATGCTATTGCAGCTGCTGCAGTTAAATACTTCACATATCCCTTCTTAATGACTGGCCTCTTGGCATTTTGCCGCATCATTGTCCGCTCCTACCTCATTGTTTCCTTGTATCATAGCGTTGTTTTTATTTTCAGAATATTGTTGAGTCAATAACAGGTCAATTATCTCCAGTCAAGGATCCTGAGAAGCTTCTGCAGGATATGGATGTCAATCGTTTGCGTGCTGTTATCTATCGAGATGTGGTAAGTGTTGAATAGTTTAAGATTTTGAATGTAAGATGGCATTTAAAAGACAGGCCACGTAATAAGGGACACGACTTTTTTACAAGTTTTGACAACTTATTATTTTTTTTGTTATTTATCTTTTTAAAAAAATGCATACATATAAGTATGGATATGTAATTCATACTACAATGAAAACCATATAACTAAATAATTTTTTGAACATAAATACTTTGTATAGAAGGAAATGCATAACACCGCCAGTAAAAATAAAATAAAAAATCAACGAGATTTCAAAGCTACTATAAACTTGCAAAATAAAATTAAAATTTAATAGACAGTCTATTATAGACTATTATAGCCTATTTCCACCAAAGGCTTAACTGCATTTTAGAGCTCAGAGAAATTCAAGTAACTCCAACATGAGGTTATCGGCAAGGTTTTTTTTAAGTTTTGCTTTTTTCCTTTCGTTTGCTTCTACTTAATAGTTGCAAGTACCCCCTTCGCACCTGCGAAAACAGTCCAGAAAAAATGGCCATTATTTCGTGTGTGTTTATTATCATCTTTTTGGAACAGCAACAAAACAATAACAATTTTTTATGCAGCAATTTAATTGTGCAGTTGGGCAGTTTTATAAAAAAAAAATATTCTTTATAGAGTTTTCGTTAAAAGCGAAGTCAAGCTCAATAAAATTGTTGTTTCGCGCTAGCTTAGAGTGAAAAGTTGAGGAAAACAACTTCTTCTAGCCATTTTCTTCAAGTATTTCGCAACCCTTTGAAAACATTTTGCCCGTTGAAAGCGAAACTCCATACGAATCAGAGGGATTCGATCTTAACTAAAAGATTTCGTGATATTTTGCCCTTGTCGAAATTTCGGAGCTTTTTTGAACTTAGCAAATTTTGCTTTCATTGAATATGAACGGGAAAACATAAAACAAGGAATTTTTGCCCTTTTCGAAATGATGCATTCTTAATTTCTCTAGCCTGCTGTATCAAAATATGCTTTTTCTTAAAAAGTGGACTTAGCAACTTTTTACTCGAAGCTAGCGATATGTTTTTTTCACTTTCGTTTACTATTAAATATATAGTGTATAAAAATTAAGCAATCACCATTTAAACCATTTTTCAACTCTTTTGTTTTATTTTTTATTTATTTATTTTTTTTTTTTGAAGGAGGAAACCAAACAAGCGCAGTTCCTTTCACTCGCCATCGTTTATTTCATTTCCGTGCTGATGGTATCCAAGTATCGCGACATATTGGAACCGCCAGCGGAGCCACAAATCCAGCGCCAGTCGCCCGTGATGCAACGTTCTGCAGCCGGTAAGTGCTGCCAATCATTTGGCATTATTGCTTGGTTCTACTATACTTTTGGTATACTTTTTTTCCTTAATTTAATTTTCTTCTCTGTTTGCGGTTGGTTTGTTTGGTTTTGTTTTAGTTCTTACGAATGCACCGAAATTTCAAACACAATTACTTATTTTTATATACTGAAATGATTTTTTTTTTATGTGCTGAATTAAAATTTTTCTAACTCGATTGCTCCTACTAACAACAAAAAGACAAAAAAAAATTTCGTAGTTATTTTTTACTAATCCAGAGCAAAAAAAAAAACAAAACAAAACTCACACGAATTTATAACATTATTTACGATTTTATTTCGAGGGGGTAGCTATTGATCGTATTTTAAGTTTACGTAAGTTAATTTTAGTTCTGTACATAAATTAGCGAACATTGTAGACAACATAGAGCATAATTAGAGTTTAGTTAAGTTATGAATTTCTATTTATTATTATTTTTTATATATATATAATTTGTATGGTACGTTTTTTATGATTTATGTACAAAATGTTACCCTCTTCTATGTATTGGACGTCAAATTTACTTGCATATGTTTGCATTGATCAAAAAATTTATTTGTCCAATCAGTCTGATTGATGTTTCCTGAATTTGAAGCCCTTACACAAGTTTTGTTACATTCAATTGATTTTTGGATTTTTTTAAATTTTTTATTTTTATTTTTTTGTCGAATCAGTTTTGTTAATTTCTATCGTTGACAGCCAGTATTGCTAATTGTTATTTCCCAAATATTTTTCTCTCTTTCTCTTTTTCTTTGAACTTTATTTCACGCTGCTTTGTTCGGATTTTGTAATTTAAAAATCAATCAACATTTACCAAATAACCAAACTATTTGGTGTAATTATTTTCGGAATTCATTTGAATGATATACCATTTCGTAAAAAAAATACCAACAAAAATATTATGAACATTTACGAATTTTTATTCGTAACATCCATTGTGGTTTTATTAAATTTATATATCAAATCGATTTTACATACTTACGTTCGTGTCTTACTGTGAACGTGTGTTGTTGTGAATTATCTTTTGCCCATTCACTCGATATTTTGTGTGAATGTAACAATGTTTTTATTGATTTGTGTAAACACAATTCGGTAAATATGTATTCACATTATTTACTTTTAAATACACCAACCAACTCCCTTGCACTAAACCTTGTTACATTCATCATCATCGCCATTATTCATCATCATTACCATTACCATTTTTATCACAATTCCCATTGTGATTACCATTACAATAACCAATACTATTACCATTAACATAATTATTGCCATTAATTATACCATTACCATTTTAATTACCATTACCATTACAATTACCATTACCATTACCGTTACCATTACAATCTCCTCCGCAATTATCCTTATAATCAACATTTCCATTACCATTACCACCACCAATACCATTACCATAACCACTTCCATTACCACTACCCTTATCATTTACATTACCGTTGCTATTTCAATTACAATTACCCTCACCCTTACCATTACCAATTACCATTTATTATTTATTTATATTTCCATCATGGCTTACCTCAATGTCATTACCATTTCAACATATCCCACTTCTGTTGCCTTCGTATTCCATTTCTTTGAATTCTCGTCCCCTCCTAACCCCCCTTGCGACATGGCAATTAGAACCCTCAGGTCGCCCGCTTTTCCCTCAGTGGTCACATCATGTGTACCCACAATTCTTGCCCAACAATTCTCATCAAAATCACATGCCTTCGGCGTCATCGGCGACAACATCGAATATGCAGCAGCAACAATCGCAAACATCGCATCAGCATTACTACCAGCAACAACAAATGGCTTCACCGCCACATCAACAACAGCTGTCACAGCAGCACAGTTACAGCCATCACTATGCATCTATGCAACAGCAACAGCAGCAACAACAACAGCAGCAACACCAACACCCAACATACTACAGTGAACAGCAACAGCTACACAATCATGCAATGAGCGGCGGCAGCAGCAACAGCAGCAGTAATTACGCTGGCAATATATCACCGCCACTGGCCACACAGTCAACAAGTTCCTCGGCCTCGTCATCGGCCACCTCACAGCCGGCATCCTCGTCGTCGCTGTCGAGTTTGGCCTCCCAGCCAGGCGCACGTCATCACCAGCAACAACATCAGCACGCACATCAACACGCTGCCTCACACCAGCACCAGCGGCATGCACAGAAACATCACTACCACCACCAGCAGCAACAGCAGCAGCAGCAGCATCAACAACAACAGCCGCCGCCACAACAATTTCAACAGCACTATGGTGGCATGATGAATGGCATCGCCAATCAAATGGTTAATGGGGGTACTGGAATGGTTGGTAGCGCCAAGAGCGCACCACAAAATGCAACAATGTCCGGCAATAGCCATCAGCAACATTATGTTGGTAATGCCGGCGATATGAACGGCAGCGTATACCACCAATACATGCGGCCAAGCGGCACGTTGATGAATGGTGGCAGTATCGGTGGTAGTGGCGGCGGTGGTGGCGGCAGTGGCGTTGCACATCAGAACGGCATCGCCGTCGAATATCACACACATGCACATGCCACCGGTGTTGGTGTTGGTGGGGCAGTCAATGGTGCTGGCAATAATAATAGCCTTGTTCTTAATAACAACCACAACAACAACAATTGCAACAGTAATGGCATGCGTGGTAATGCCTTGCGTGATGCCAGCGTAGGTAGTGGCGGTCATATGCTGGGTAGCGTTGGTGTTGGCGTTGGTATTGGTGTTAGTGTTGGCGTTGGCGTTGGCGTTGGCAGTGTGGGTGTTACAACTGCCGGTGGCAGTGGCGTCGCCAGTGGAACTGCGCAAATGCCATACAAGAATAATGTCTTAAATAACAATTACCGTTATAATGGACGCAACAATATCGGAACAGGTACATACTACCTCACAGCTAAACAGTTGAATAGCCAAGTGCAAGAAGCTTTGGACATGATTAGCAAAACCCTTTCACATAGACTCTGAAGCATTATGTAGTTTTTTACTATGTATACACATACATACATATGTACATGTATGTAATATATTTCTCATTTTGTAATGTTATGTGCGCAAGACTCGGTATCGGTTTTTAAAATTAAGCAAAAATACTGTACACTTGGTATTTATAACAAAAGAAATTAGCAAATATTTAATTTTGTCAAAACAACTAAAAAAAGATTTCTTTTCTACAGCCAGCCCTGTTTGTTAATATTTTCTTCAACTCTAAATACATAAGCATTTTCCTTTATAAGTACGATTTGAGGATTTTTAGCAAGAAAATGTTTCTCTATTTATCTCTTTCCTTTTTTAAATAATTAATCCCAACGATTTTGGCCTCCCACCCAACCGGCAAAAGGAGCGTTGTCCACAGGGCGTACGTATCTTTTTTATGTTGAGTCATAAAAGGCACGAGTTGGTTAAGTGCTGAGATCTGAAACTCTTCAGCTGCAGAACTGAATTCATCAGCTAATTACTCTGAATTCAAGTTAGCGGCGCCTGTAATATTTATATCTCTAATAGTGATCATAGCACTGCCTTTCATCAGTGTCTTTATCTTTTTTCTGAAACCCACTCACCTATGCGTGAAACATGCCTAGGCCAGCGGAATCATTGAAGTTTTGTGCGGCTAATTATGTCAATGCCGTTGGAAACCTCGTACAGTTTGTCATTCCATCTTCTTAGATACCCTTCGCGGAATTTGTGTATGTCGCCAAATTGTAGTTTGTTTTGTCCGTGCTGTACTGCTGTTCCTGGAATATACAAGAGAGTGAATCGCCTTACTAAAACCTCGTTGGAGCTCTAACTGCTTGCGGTGGTTCTTTCCAATTTCAACGAAGCTTTACTCTAAATAGACGTATTAGTTTTTCGGGGATTCTAACTTTTGACATGGCTGCCAGTACGAGTTTTTTTGTATGGTTGCTTGTAGGAAAATTGTATAAAAAAAAATTTCTGCATACATTACCTAATCCCCCGATGAGGAAAAAGACTTCATTACCAATTCGCAATAAGCACAAAATTAGCACTTAAATTTTCAATTCAGGCTTGTTACTGGCATTTACGAACAATTTTGTGCTTTGGTATGTTCAGTGTAGGGCTGTGCGATTAATTGATTACTCAAAATTTTAATTAATCATAAAGTAAATAACTCAATTATTCGATTAATCGGAAATTATGATTACTCAAAAGTTCAGTTACTCGAGTAATCAAGATTTTTGATTAACCAAAAACAAAAATATTTGAGTAATTTGCTTTATGATTAATCAACACTTCGAGTAAACAGAGTAATCAACATTTCAACTCTTTACATATGTATAAAGTAGTTAAAGTTCCTTGATACTTTGAAAACAATGTTTCTGTTTTCAAAAATTAAAACGAAAAATTTTTTCATATACAGAATGTAAAAAAGAAAATAAGCATTTTCCAAAGTAAACTCGTTTAACGAGCAAAATTATTTTTTTGAGTAATCATATTTCAAGTAACTCGATTAATCATCGTTTTGAGTAATCAAAATCTTGATTACTGGAGTAATTGATTAACCGAATAATTGATTAACCAACTTGCTCGAGTAATCGAATAATCGCACAGCCCTAGTTCAGTGACTTAGAGTAGAATTGAACGGCAAAAATGTTTGTAAAACATTTTAACCCGTTATATCCCTGTTTCGTGTGTATTTTTTGCCCTCGTCCAACTTTTAAGGAGTTAGAGGTTTCATTCCCTGATTTCCCATAAGAATGTGCAAAAGGCGGGAGCTTTGACAATCTCTAAAATAAAGCTCAGATGTAAACTTTGAAAACGCCGATACATGTATATCACTAGCTTAACACCAAGTGACAACAATATTCCAAATCCCTCATGTAAGTTTGCAAACCAAAAGAATTTGGAATGTTCAAAGCATTTTTATCAAAACACTGTCATAGAATCTGGCTTTGCCTACATTATTTTTTGATCAACGCGTATAGGTGATCTAATATTAAAACATTATTACTTATTAGACGCCACGTTTGCTGAGCTTCCACGATTTGGATACAAGCAATTGTTTATAATTTACCCTTACTAGGAGAGTTCTCCTTTCTGTGTTGCCAGAAAAGAGCGGCGGAAGTATTTTTCCGCAAACAAAAATTTGAATAGAAAATTTATTTTTTCATTTCTTGAGCGTTTGAGTTTTTATATGTCTTTTTTGTTTTTCTTGAGAGTTGCGAAATATGCTTTAGCCTCAAATGTGACACCTTATAAGAAGTGACATTATCCCAAGTAAACAAAAAAAAATGGACGCCCTTGAATATAAGCCCTCGATATGCTTGAACAGAAGAAGAAATATAAAATGCAATGCTTAATGTAAAACCGTTACCGACATTTTATGTGCGCACATATACATACATGTATCTGCATATGTACATATGTTACTTACATAAAAAATCTATCAATCAATATACATATATCTACGTATTTGACGTACTAGCATAGCTACATATAGAGACTTACATATCTTCATGAATAGTTTATCTCCTCTAATCGTTTAATTTTACGTCGCTACTATTCTAAACTTTGTTTTTTATATATACGTAACAATGTATGTTTGTATGTTTCTATTCTTGGTACACAACTGAAAATTTACATATGTAACGAATGTAGTTTGTTAGTATTGTCCATTTTATTTTGCTATTTCTTCGTTTATGCTGTATCTATTGTTCTTTGGAGTTTACTTATGCGACACTCAGCCAAGTGTTGTTTCGTGTTGTCGATTGTGGCGTGTGTGTGCTGGCGTTTCAATCAACCATGATGTCAGCTTAAAATAACCGAAGTCTTGAAATTGATTTCTTTTTGTACTTGACGTTTTTCATTCGAGTCTATTGTTTGCCATTGTGAATTTATCAATTAAGAGGTTTTCTGTTTGTGAATTTGTGGCTTCCGTGTTGATTTCTTTACAAAAACAGCAATTATTTTATATTCGATTTTCACTTAATTCTGCTTTCAACTTACTGTACGTTTGTTTGGTTCTTGTATTTTTTTCTGTTTTTTTTTTGGTTTTTAATTATTTTGTCTTTCAAGAAAGCTACCTTCTTGCCTCCATTGTCATTAGCACCGTCACGTCACAGCCAATTGCATTTTTCTCAGACTCTATATTTCCGCACAATCCACAACCAAAGAGCACAACAAAGCTGCTGCANCTATATTTCCGCACAATCCACAACCAACGAGCACAACAAAGCTGCTGCATTTTGGGCAAAAATAGAAGCGGAAAACTAATTGCATTGCATGCCAGTTTGTTTTAGTTTTGCACGAAAGTTCGTTAAATTTTCGCTTGGAATTTAATTTGCTTTGAATTTTTCCTATTTTTTGCTCTAACTATTGATTAAATAAGTAAGTAGTGTTTAATAGAAACGGCATCAGCGAAAATTCCAAGAGGTTGCAATTACTTATTAAATACATTTTGATAATTGATGATTTTGGTAATTGAAGGCTAATATACACTTGTCACTTTGGGTGTTCATTTTGGAGGAATCATCAAAAGTGAATGGTTGAATAACTCGTTTCCTCCAAAGTATTCGCTAAAATTGAACAATGAAACATATTGACTCCCTTTCAACTTTTGAACAGTTGTTCACTGTATTTAAATAGTTCATTCATATTTATCTTTCAGTTCACTTAATATGATAGCAACCCAGTCGGAAAAGTAGTAATGCATTACATGCGCGATAAATAAAATAATGTACTTCGTATGCGTTCTCGATAATATTACTTCAAAAAGTTCCAAAAATTTCATGCAAAAAACCATTCATTTCTCTATACTAGGTAATGCAAAATTGAATGCCCCACTTATCTTAGGACATCGCGCTGGGGAAAAAAGTCCATTTTCGAATGTGATTATTTTTTCGATTACTATACATTACATTTTCCCACTGGGAATGTATCCATAATACATTTCAATGTGATCTGACTTATATCATACCTAGGTAATATTTACTTTTAACTGTTCCTATTTTTCGAGCATAAGAAGGAGGATATATTCGATTTCAGATTATA